CGGGAGCCGGAAGATCCAGCTGCAGATTCCGCCCAGGCTGGCCGAGGGCTTGGGGGACCCGGTGCCACACAGGCACTCCGGGAGCCCAGAACACCCCAGCAACCACGCTGAGGCCTGGTATTTTTTTTCCCTGCAGCCTATAGTTTGGGAAACGCTGGTATACGGTGTCGTGGAGCAACCCAAAGCCTGATCAGGAAAGTAAGAGCACAAGCAGCAGCTTGAAATTGCGTTTCATAAGAGAGGCAACAAAAAGTGTTAAAGACTGTTCTACTGTTTAACAGAAACAGCATAATTTTTACCACTCTGGAAAGTGGGAGGCTCAAATACACTTCAAAAGCTAGTAACTAAAAACAAAGTTACTTATTCAGACCCTACTTTTCTAAAATACTGGGTAAGTAATCACTACCTACACACCTATAGTGCACATCATGTAGTAATAAGGCAAATGACTGAGCTGATTTTAATGGCCAAAATGTAGCTCGTTTTATGGTTACAGTGAAGCCGGACTTCAGCAACCATCCAAAGAACCAGCAGAAACCTCAAGAGAGATGGGTCTGTCAGGGCTGTTCCCCACTCTGGCAATCTGAGTGCAAAAGGTGGGGGGCCTGCAAGAGCGCTCCAAAGCCTTGCCTCTACAGGCACTGGTCACAAAAACCTTCCCCCAGAATCCTAACAGATTTTGGGGAAATCGCTGCCACTATCAAGTGCTTTTCCTCTAAAACCAGGGGTGAACACTTGAAATCACCCCCAGGGTACCCCAAGTTCTTTTGCCCCAAAAGAGCTTGCAAAAAAAGAAAAACAAGTTGCAGTCTGTGGTAGCTGACCCCTCAAGTCAGAGACATGCAGATACCCACAGACAGACCATTCAGGACACAAGAATCTCATCACCTTAAAGGTAGTGATTTTTATTCCAAAACACAAGCTAAACTTGAGAAAGCAGACTTGGGTGCTAAATGTTACAGAGCAACTCGGCACAACACTTAGATGGTAAAGAGGGAGGGGAGACATAGAATCACACAGAGCTGTTCAAACCAAACCACAAAATAAAGAAAAGTTACCCTGAACACGACTGGACTCACATTTCCCTGGTCCTCACTTCTAATTTTCTCTTTGTGCAGGGCTCCCATGTCCTGAATTCCAGGGGGCGGCGGGCACGCAGGAGCGGCATGGTACTTCTGCCTGGGTTTAAACTCTCCCACAGGAAGAAAGCAGGCAGGAGACCTATATCCAATTCAAATTTCAACCCTCTCTCAACTGGTTCTCCAGGCCCCCTGGCTGACACCTTTGCTTGGTACCTGAGTTAACCCCTTAGTCACCAGGTACTGGTCAGCACTCCTCCTGTTCATGACATAGTAACAAAGCAGTAACTGTAGAGTGGAAGCAGAAGAAAGGACATGGGTGTTTCTCTAGCTACAGTTAACCCCTCTGCCAGCAGAGATGAAAGACCAGCCCATATGCTGATAATTGCTGCATTGATGGGTAAGAAGTTTGAAGAGAAGGATGCAAAAGCAATTAAACACCACAGATTTCAGCACAAAAAAAAACAGACCTATTTGAACTTGCCATAATCCAAATGATGTATATTTAAGAACATACTCCTAAAACAGCAAATCAAAAGGAATGGCCTGGTCACAGCTCTGTGCCAGGCCATGCAGAAGAGCTGGATTTGAGTCCTTTTTCAATTTCAGCCCTCACACTGAAACCAGCACACAAAATGGTGATCCAAGTAAATTACTGTATTAAGACTAAAAGCTGTATGTTTAAGGGCAATGGATTTTTGGTAATCTGCTGATAAAAATCAAACCAGAGATATTAGGAAATGTCCACAAAACGTGAGTACTGAGCATTTAGATTAGAGCAGTCAATTAATTGCTGGTAATGCAAAACAAACAAGAACAAAAAGTTTGAGGGGTAGCTATGTTAGTCTAACTGGAAAAACTTAAACGACAAATAGTCTCTAAGGTGCTGCAAGAACAACAAAACAGAGGCTACAGCTATACTGCACTCTCTTGCACAAGAAAATATGCAAATGAAGCAAAGCAGTGAATATCGCCATGCTTCATTTGCATACCTAATGAGCCACCATTTTTGCCCAAGGGCCTTTCGTGCAAAAAGGAGCCATCTACACAGCGTCGTTTTGTGCCAAAACCCCCCTCTTGTGCAAGAGCCCCCCTCTTGTGCAAGAGCCGTTCTGCTGCTTTTTTTCAGGGAGAACGGCTCTTGCGCAAGAGGGGAGTTTTACGCCAAAGCCCCTTGGGCAAAAATGGCAGCTCATTAAGTATGCAAATGAGGTGAGGCAATAGTCACCGCTTTGCCTCATTTGCATATTTGATTGCACACGAGAGCACAGTATAGACGTAGCGGTAAGTGGCATCAGAGCTTTTGTGGGCACAACCCACTGAAGAAGTGGGTTGTGCCCATGAAAGCTGCGATATCTACATTTTTATTAGATTAAAAAGATTAGTTGTGATTCATTGGTTTCACGTATTACTGTTAAGGTGAATGACTGTAGTGTCCATGCAGCCATCAATCAGATTTGCCAGGACTCCAAGATCACTGGACATCTTTAAGTGGTCACAGCTGTCACCACTCAAAGCAACAGTGAGTGCATTTTTCAGAAGCTCCAGATTTGTAGCCTTCTCCTTGTGATATAGGTCATGTACTCTTGATGCAATGGTTCCTTGGAAGGGCAAGGTGTAGGATTGATTGCAAGATGCAGATTGAGCAACACCTGTTAGCCCTCTGTTGTTTACAATGAGTAGTCTGCATTCCATAGCTACATACCTTGCAATAGCATTGGTTACATTGTTGTACTTTAAGCCATGAGACTACAGAGACCCTGAAACTCTAAGCATACTCTATCACAGCTAGCAGGGTTAATTTGCTGTTGATGGGTTATCTGTAGAATTCCAACTGGAGGCAGAGGCATGTTTAGCCCATAGGAAGGACTGCAGACTTGTACTTCAATGGACCTCAGCCTTGCAATGGCCACAGAACCATCTGGAAGTTTTGAATGGGAAGTATATTTTTAAAAAGACTTGAACTTCTGCTGCATTAACTTTTTCTGATATTTAATCACTCTACATCATGAGAATGCTGTAGAATTTTGCCAGCGTTTGCCAAGTAATGAAGTACTGTAAGTGAAGATCAAAACAGAGGTGTGTGATTAACACTGGTTAAAAAAATGCATTCATGTGTTTTGCATTAATTGCTTGTGTTTACTGCTTTTTTAGAGCTGTAAATAATTCTGTATTTGTAAGTTGCACTTCTATGAGAGAGATTACACTAAAGTATTTGTATGAACTGAAAAATATGATTATCTTTTTACAATGCAAATATTTGTAATCAAAACAAACTGAGCACTGTACACTGCATTCTGTATTGTAACTTAAATCAATATATTTGAAAATGTAGAAAAACATCAATTTAAATTGGTATTCTTTCAACAGTGCAAATAAAAGGTCATTAGTTGCAACTTTGTCATTATAAATGACAATTTTTTAAATCATTTGACAGCCACTTATTTAAATTACCTGTGAGTATAAAATTGATATTTACACCGAGTATATTAACCTATTTACTAACAATGAAAAAACATGTTCAAGGTGCAAATGAAGGCTAAAGTAATTAGCTAGACAGGACAATCATCTCCCAATAAGTACGATGTCTACTTACTGCTGATTCTACTTGAGTTCTGTCCGCAATGTCAATATGAACAACTTCAACACTCTTCCATGTGTTCGGATCCAAGTCATGCACCTGCGATGGGGAGAGAGAGGACCTTCACTGTTTGTCACCTTATTGCAGCCATGACGTTAATTCTGTATTACCCAGATCTACAGAGATGGACAGTTTTCTTAGAATCGCTAGGTAACTTCAGAAGATATTTCCCCATTTATTTAAATTTAGTAGTAACTATTAAATTTTCACTTCTTGTGCTTTCAGAGGAGCTTCATTTTAAGATTAATTTGCATTTGTTATTTTCCTTCCATCTAATGACATTAAATACTGGAATTAGAATCATTACACGTTCAAAATGCTAGACAAACATTTCCTTAAATCAGAGGCCCCAGCACGTTTTGAAGTTGGCTAACAGACTATTTAGTGGTGGATTTTGGGCAGAGGTGGGCAATAATTTTTGACGGGGGGCCACTCCAAGATTTTGGAAAGGGATCGAGGGCTGCACTCTTTCATGATATTAATGGAGGAGATGCAGGATCTGGGATAGAGGTCAGGTGCAGAAGGACTTTGGGGTAAGGGACTGGGGTGGAAGAGGGGGTGCGAGGTCTAGGAGGGAGTATGGGTGCAGGGGTTTGGATTTAAATTTAAATTACTTGATTTAATTACTTGAGGCAGGGGACTGGGGTGCAGGAGTGGGGGCAGAGGCTTTGGGTTATGTGGGGTAGGAGTGGGATGCTAGAAGCAGGCTCTGGCTGGGAGACTTACTTGAGTGACTACCATCCAGCAGCCCAGCACAGGCTGCAGGGGCCATGTGTCTGAATAGCTATGAGCTTGACGGGGAGGGGAATTTAAGTGCCCCCCGTT